AGATTCAAGTCGAGGAAGGAATCAGTAAGAACCGCTGGAAGTTGGTAGGACACACATAGCGGAAAGCGCCCAACTGTGTCACAAGACAAGCCCTCACCTTCAATCCTCGAGGTCAGAAGAAAAGAGGCAGGGCAAGGAAAACCTTACGCCGAGAGATGGAGACGGACATGAGAAGCATGAACGAAAACTGGACAGAACTGGAAAGGGAAGCCCAAGTTGGTGTAGGTTCGAGAATGCTGATTGATGACCTATGCTCCATTAGAGGTAACAGGCGAAAGTAAGTATACAACCAAAGGTATTATTTCAGTTCGATAAAAATATTTCAAATAAATAACCAGACCTGTTATGAGAATCAACAAGTCAAAACACTGAGCATTACACTATAAATCAACATGCTAAAATTTGCTGATCTCCTAAAGACAAATCGATATCGGTAACAACAGAACATAATGTGAAAGTTAATCAATCAGTTCCAGTTACAAATATGCGCCGTGTAGTTAGTGTATTTTTCAGTTATCAATTAAGTGAATACCATGTTCTTGATATCTTGTGTTGGGGATGTTAGATCCCAAAAACTTGCTTGTTACATGCCTTATTTTGGATTTCACGATTGCGAGCATGGGCCAACCAGCTGACCTTGAGATTTAATTTCCCACCAGGAAAATCTATGGCTGTGATTGGCTGCTGTGTATTTAAGTGTGCTATTTTCGTAACTGTCCCAAGGACGTTTCTATGATGTATAAATAAACGAGAGTTGTGTGGTTGATTGTATTCTGATTGCTGGGTGTTTGTAGAATATACTTTCTACGCTTATCAAGTCTTCTTTTTTGCAGTTTGGGATTCAAAGTAACCTACCTGAACGCTGGTAATTGTCTCGTTCGCGTTTATCGACTAAGGTGAACTCGTAATAGCTTCTTCAAGCGTACCAAGTGACGAACATAACATCTAAAGCACTGATACTTGTCTAGTGAGGATTCGTTTGACTAGAAACGGAGTTATACTGTAAGGAGTTTGATGGTTAAAGAAGTTGAACGATTTTTGAGCTTCACAACCAAAACATTCAGCTCAGAGAATGGAAAACCACCACAATTTCTAATATGTTTGATAATAGATGTCGTTGAAATGTAGCTGCAACATGATGAAATCATTGTTTTTATAATGCTGACATGTATGTGCATCCATAACTCTTGCTAGTCGCAGGAATCGAACCTCGGACTTTCCGTGATGCGCGCGAATACCTTACTTTTAGACTACTCAGCTGGTGACATCCAACATTGTTATCATCTAACTCTGACCAATCTAGGGATTTTACCCAACCTCACCTATTTGTCTTCATTAGTTACTGCCTACACTCGACAGGAATGAACTCTACTGGTCATGTCTTCTCACTACAACTCCGAAAACTAGTCAACTCTTGAATATTGGTTTTGCATAGAACCTATTGCCTACTGACTGAAAATTTGATTTTTTTTTTAAATCAAGAGAAAGGATAAATATGAAGTGATTTAGTGATAATCACCATGAACTTAAGTATTAGTGTAAATATGAAGGCGGGTAGTACGTCCTAACTTTAAAGCAATAAGACCATTTTGTAAATTTTGATAAATTAACGAAAAGTTTGAGTTGATCTGATAAATATGATGTTATTGCTCAATACATTTCGAACAGTCTGGTTATACATGTACACCTGTGCGAAAATTAATAAAGATCAGTTAAATAACAGTTGAAATAAACATAAGGGTATGAGGGTGAATATTACTTCCCAGCTGCACACACAGTGAGAGGGTGCTTCATAAGGAGCCTGAAAAGGAAATAGGATGAGCGTTGGTCTAAGCGACCTGGCACCGTGACTGAAGAGACCAAGGTACAATTACTTGAAACCGGTAGCGCATGGCCTCTTTACGGGTCTTGTTTTGAACGCGTTAGCTCCCTTGATTTAAAAGCTCCTACCTCCGGAGACAGAAATCCGTGAGGTAGGTTGAGGTGTGACATTTTGTAGATCGACCTTTTCCAACCTCTTCCTTCCTTGTGAGAAGGCAGCATCGCTGCAGACGCTAGTTGTCTGAAGGAAACACCTTACTGCTGTCAATTGAAACATAGAACTCCTTAAGTACGTACATCTGTTCAAGTTGTCATACCACGGTAGGTGGAGGAGGTGCAGTTGTCGATTCAAATCCCCATATCGGTAGAGGTAGTGGAATTATGAGCAGTAATCGAATAGATTAAGGTTCAAAGATATTATTCCAGAAGTAGAATCCAGTGAAATAAATCTAGATAGAGAAACATGAAGGTGATAAGAAGTTTAGATTAGAATTTGGGAGAACACAAACAATGGATGCACCTGAGCCACCGTAAACGACTTTGAGACGTATCATTCAAGGTCTCTAAACTATCTGTTACTATCATCCCACGGACCCCAACTAGGCAGTCTACACCTAGTAACGCGGCTCAGTCGACTTATGAGTGTCGGAAGGAAGCGCCTTACTGCCGTCACACCCCCTTCCTGATTTGTAAGTAGTATGACTTCGCCCTCAGACATTGTGTTACTCCTTTTAGTCTTACCGTTCTCCAATCGACCTACTTGCCATGCCAGGTTCTAAAGGAATATATGTTCCAGTCAATGTAGCTTCGTTTGGCCATCATAATATGCAAGCCCGACCAGCAGGTCAAGGTAGCAGCCACATCTGAAATTGACAAATGTATATATGTGATCAGACTGTTCGAAAAGTAATTCACAAATACATCAGATGTATCAGATAAACTCGGTCTTTAGATTGTTCTATCAAAATTTACAAAACGGACTAACAGTTTTAAATTTCAGATAAATATATCTAGTTACCAGTAAAAAACTTATACTATTCAGCAGTATCATACTGTTCCACTATAGTTTGCGTTTGTTTATATTTAACAAGATTTTTTCTGTAATTCATGAGCCTTTCTGATAAGTTCTCATCGTAGAATTGTCAAGATTGTCGTCTTACATTGAAATCTTGAATTAATCATGGTTAGACCACTATAAAAAACCTGGAACATGGAAGGTCCTGGATTCGATTTGCTCGAGCGTGGATAGTGGATGCATATTGCTGAAGAGTCCCATACTAAGACTAACTCCAATGTAACGAAACTACTTGACTAGGACTGACAATATTAACTGTCAAAATATCTTTGATAGATTCAGCCTAGGCTTCTACGTGTTCATTTCAACGGTTACTGTTACGTCTTGGATAATTACTTACTTACTTACTTACTTACTTACTTGCTTACGCCTGTTACCCCCAATGGAGCATAGGCCGACCACCAGATTTCACCTACCAACTCTGTCCTGGGCTTCCCTTTCCAGTTCTGTCCAATTTTCGTTCATTCCTCTCATATCTTTCTCTATTTCTCGGCGTAATGTGTTCCTTGGCCTTCCACTTTTCCTTTTACCTTGAGGGTTCTCAGGAAGGGCTTATCTTGTGACGCAGTTAGGTGCTTTTCGTAGTGTGTGTCCTATCCACTTCCACCGCTTCTTCCTGATTTCCTCCTCCACTAGAATCTCGTTTGTTCTCTCCCACAATACGTTGTTGCTAATGGTGTCTGGCCAACGAATACGAAGTATTTTGCGTAGCTAACTGTTCATAAATACTTGTTCCTTCTGGATGATGGCTTTCGTAATTCTCCAAGTTTCCACCCCATACAGTAGAACTGTTTTCACATTTGTATTGAAAATCCTGATTTTGGTGTTGATTGATATTTATTTTGACTTCCAGATAATTTTCAATTGTAAAAATGCAGCCCTTGCTTTGACTATCCGTGCCCTCACATCTGCATCGGATCCACCTTTATTGTCGATGATGCTGCCCAGATATATAAAGGTGTTAACGTCCTCCAAGGCATCTCCATCAAGAGTGATTTGGTTGTTTGTTGCATGTTGTGTTGCATCGGAGAATTTCGCTTTTTCCTTTATGTATGTTGAGACCTGCTTAAACATACTGATTAGAGAGGATTTTAATTCCCCACTCTATATGTCATATTTTACTTTGCAATTCTATATTACATAACATATTACGCAAGAAAAAACAACTTCGAAACACAAATATAAGAGAATGAAACAGATCACTTCTAAGTGTACATCTCTTAAACACTCCCATAATTTTACAATTATATTACAGACTACACAACCAACTGTGATCTGATAATATAATCTTTTCTTCCCAAACCAGACAACCCTGGACTATTTCGTAAGCACTAAAAATAAAACATCCTATGTATAGTCAGTCCTATTAACAAAAAAAGCCGACTGTAGTATAGTAACTACTTCAAACATAAAAATAATCATATTAGTACTATTTATGTATTCGAAATAACTGAAACGCTTGGCAGAACGAAATACTGATTACAAAAAAAGTTTGAAATCATTCACAGTCTGATTGTTTTATGTACACACGTAACAACACTGGTGGTTACGCAATAATGATAATAATAATCTTGATAAATCTATTTTTTCCTCTATAAAAATCATTGGATGTGTTTTTTTCTCTCCTGATTTTTTCTCTAAATCTTAGTTCTCTTTTTTTTGTTTTACTCTTGTTTTTGTTGTTTATTTTGTCATGCATAATATTCATTGGATCAATGCAATGAAATGGTTCATTATTTTTTTCTTTGTGAATTTCTGTTTTTCTATTTTTCTCTCACCCGCTTACTCTTACTCTTACTCTTTGAGTTGACTTTTCCCATACCTGTCTAGCAAATAGTCAGTTAGTTTATAGTCAAGTATGAGATCAATAAGTTGCATGAAACAATCCAATGGGTATGCGTTGTCCAAGGTCATTCATTAGTTAGTTTTTTTTTCTATAGCTCATTATATCAAGTTAGTTTTAGTTGAAGACCAATCCTAATCAAGTTTCATTTTTCTAAATAAAGGCACATTTTGTTTGGAATTCAAGTATTCGATTGATTTTTTTTTTGACAAAAAAAGATAAAATAAGGTGAAGGAATTACTAATAGGAGTCATGTATGTATTTTAACTCAACATTGAATTGTTACGAAATGTAAATTATTTTGAAAAAAAAAAACGACATGATATGATAAAATTTCGATGTTGTCATTGCTGTAATCCACTCGAAACAAATTTGGACGTAGTAAGTAATCAATGTTTCAGAACAGCAACCGCTATAAATAAATAAATAAAACACACAAAAATTCTCAACTTTTTCATTTACCAAAATGTATGTAAACTCGTTATGAATGCATCAGTTAAACGTGAACGTTTAAAACCATCATCATCATCCTCATTAATTCGTCATAATACAATTACTACTAATAATACTACTAATACTACTATCAGTAGTAATAACACTTTTGCTACACGTTTAAAAAATCGTATCTGTTCAAATTCTTGTTTAAAAATGGTTTATTTATCATGTGCAACATTAATATCAGCTAGTTTTATCATTGAATGTATCCTGTTACATTTAATCATTGTACCTTATTTATCTGAATCAATTTTTGAAGAAGGTATGTGTCGTTACATTGGTTCACGTCGTGATGAATCGAATAAACGTTGTGAAAATAAATGTTCCAAAGAACGTTCCACATTTCCATGTCTTCAAATTAAAGCTATATTTACACCGATTCATATTATACCATATGAAAAAGCGAATTCACAAATAAATCAAGAAATCATGCAGAAACGTATGGAATCCTATGAAAATATGAATAACAATCTTAATCCTATGGAGAATTCATTAACATTTATAGTGGGTTATTCTAGTGCACCTGCAGCAGCTGCTGCTTCCGCCATTGTTCCTACTGATACATCTAATTATACAGTGTTTTATAATTTTGAATCATCTGAATCACGTTTGGTTTATTTATATGATTATTTTAGTACATTTGCAACGTATAAAACAAGTCGAGTAAGTTCATTCATATTGATGTCTCTGTTTGTGTGCTTGAATGTTTACATAACATGTGAACGGAATAGTTAGTTAGTCTAATAATAATAATTAATATTATTTCTATTATGAGTCTACTATGGGTTACAGTTTACTAAGGTTGAATAAAATCTATTCTAGTCAAATAATTGAAATTCTCAGTTACAAATTAGACATTAGGAACACAGCTAAATAGCTTTTACTACTATGTCATCTACTGTTAATTTTGTTCTTCAATACTTTGAATTCATTGAGAACATATAAATGCTATGAAGAAATCGAAATTACCACATACATTTTAAGCCACTGAAATCGTTTGCTTTTTTGTAAATAAATTTATTGTACAACTACTCCATGAAATTGCATTGCGTGATTTTTGTGAAGATTATTTGTAACCATGAATCGATCAATGTTAGACCACCATTAGAAACCTGGAAGCACTGGGCGGCCGTTTCGTCCTGATATGTGACTCATCAGCAGTACGTATCCACGACTCCTGCGGGGTGCAGGAGTTGGATACCACCGTTGGATACCGGCTCAGTGGTCTAACGGTTAGGGCGTTCGTGCACAATACCGAAGGTCCCGGGTTTGAATCCTGCGGGGTGCAGGAGTCGTGGATGCTCACTGCCACTGAGGAGTCCCATACCAGGACGAAACGGCCGTCCAGTGCTTCCAGGTTTCTAATGGTGGTCTAACATTGATCGATTCATGGTTACAAATAAAACTTAATAAGCTTCACAACAGCCCCGCAATGCAATTACATGTGTTCACCAGTGACTAGCCTGGTGAGGAATCTTCTACGAGTTCTAGTGGGAAGTCTTGACCAGTTAACTTTAAACCTGTCCGGATGTATACAGTGTATGACATCCCAATGAAATCCTCGACGGAAATCAAACTTTTATACATTAAGTATTCACTCGTTAGATGTAAGAAAAAACAATGCCACTATATATTACACAAACATATAATCATTATCGAAACGTAAACCTGTTACAAACTCATGAATCTATATATCCTAACCTATAATATTAATGTTTATAAATAATTTGTCATGTAATTAGGTCATGTTATTTATCAACCGTTAAAATTTTTATCACGTAAACATTAAAAGTTTACGCATCATTAGTGTTGCTTAATATTTCAGAGTTAAAAATTGTTACGCTCGTCTCTAGGTATACTTAAACGATTACGGATTCACTTTAGTCGAATAACGAGAACAAAAAACAATGAACCAGCGTCCAGGTAGGCTACTGTGATCCCTTGACCAAATTGTATCAGCGAGAAGTCTTGATATAGTGTAGAAAGTGTATTCTACAAACACCCAGACAGCACACAAATTGCATTTATTTATACTCTATAAAGACGTCCTTGGGACAGTCACAAAAATAGAAATGTGATATCAAGGTCAGCTGATCGGTCCATGAAATAAATCCAAATTAAAGGTATTTATCAATCGAGTTCTGGGGATCTAACATCCCCATTAAAAACTTGGTGTAGTATCTTTCTTCTCAATTCGTTTTTCATCATGTCCGCATACTATTTAGAATCATGATAAAATCGATGTCAGTCAACGAGGTGGTGTATTGTATCACGAAATTCGAAAATGTTAACTTCTAGAAATAATTTTTAAAGTAATTTAAAGATGACATGAATGGTGGAATTCAATTTTCAATAGGTATTCATTTCTCATAAATGAATCAGTGAGAATATACATAGTTAGAAAATTATTGGATTTTAAAGAACAGACAACATCAAGAGAAGGAGAGTGGTGAAATATATTTCGCGTGAGTGAGTGAGTAAGCTATAGGTAAAAGAAGTATGCTTGTGATTGAGTTTCATTCTCTGAACTGGATGTTTTGGTTGCTGTCAGTCAGTCAGTCAATCAATTACAACATAGAACTTCGTGCGTATAAGTACATCAGTTCAAGTTGCCATATACCACGTTAGCACACAGATGCAAATGTCAAATCCAATACCATGATGGTAGAGAGAGAAAAAGTATTTTTGTTAATGTAGATTAGGGTTCGAAGATATTATTCAGGAAATATAATCTGGTGAAGTAAACTTGAGGAAGTGAAAGACAGAGGTGGTGAGGAATTCAGAAGATTAGAATTTGAGAGAGCTCAACGAATGAATGCACCTGAGCCATTGCAAACGATTTTCAGCCATGTCATTCAAGGTCTCTAACCATTGGTGACGTTCCTCTGACGGACCCCAACCAGGTAGTCTACATCTACCAACATGACTCAGTTCACTTGTCAGTGACTTCATGGATTTGTGCCATGTTTTGGTTTGGCCACCCCTAACTTTCTTCCAACCTACTCCTACACCACAAAACATTGCTCAACGAGGCAGTCGGTGGTTAGCCATACGTAACACATATCCCAACCACCGCAAGTGATGAAGTTTCACTACTTCATCAATTGATCTGCCATCCTTACCTAGCACTCGTTTTCTAATGGCAGCATTGCTTACTCGGTTGTCCTAGGACACAACAGCAATGCTTCGAAGACATCTATAATCGAATGCTAATAACCTACGAATATCCTCAACTCCAAACCGCCATGTTTTGCAACCATATATTATGACGGAGCGAACTGCTGCTCAGTAAACCCATCCTTTGGTTACCAAACAGGTATCTCACCTACTCCATAAGTGACGCGAATTGGCAAAAGCCAATCGGGCCTTGTGTATCCATCTGAGATTTCGTCAGTCACCAGGCCATCAACACTGATGAGACTCTCAAGATAAGTGAAGCGGTCCACACGCCCGACTACTTCACTCCCTATCACTAGTTCAGGTGTCGATGTAACTCAGTCCTGAAGCAACATTTGCATTTGCAGTCGGAAAACTGCATCCCCAACATACTCGCATTGTTGCTTACGGTAGTCAGAAGACTCTACATTTGTCATCGTCTTCGCCGAATAGAACTTATGTCATGAGCATATCCTAAGTCAGCAAGCGTGTCTCGTGGTAAAATGTCCACACCTGAGAAGTCGGATGAAGATAATTTAAACTTGAAAAGCATTTCTATAACAAAGTTAAACAAGAATGGGGAAAGTGGACGGCCCAGACGGACACCATCTGAAGTAACTAATTCCGATGACAGTTCCCCATAAGCTTTCACCGTAAGCTTTCATTGTTCTTCTGAATAACATAATCAGCACAAACTTCAGACAGAAGTGAATCATTCGAATTTCTCCACATTTGACCTGTAGCTTCCATACAAACTCAAGGTAACTAGTTTCAATTGAGCAACTAGGGTGAATTCAGAATGTCTCTTCTCATATTTTTAATTCTAACGATTTGGTAGTCAAAATATAGGACATTATACCGTAACTTTAGATTACTAATTAGTTTTATTGTCTCTAAATTCTCTTTGTTCTATTTCGCCATCATACATTAGTTTTAAATAAACAATTTTTTCGGTGGCAATTTAGTAAAAAGAGAGAGAAAGAGTTTAATTTTTCCATTCAACACTATAAAACTACACTTTACCAGTTATATTAATTAAAATAACCAGTAATTCATTCAAGTCTACCGTGTATATACAAATATAATTGAATTTAGATTATCATTGATAAAAAGAAAAACAGCATTCAATTTAAGTGTTTAATTAAGCCGCTAAGCATAGTTATTAAAACAAATAAAATTTGACCTTCAACGGAAACACATTTGTAACTTTCTTCTTCTTCTTATTCTTTTTTAAAAAGAGGGTAATTTGATTGTTAACCGAAATTTATTTAATTTTAATTGATAAAATTAAAAACAAAAGACAAACATGAAGCTGATCCTGAGATTAATATTCTATAATTGTTTTTAGGTCAGTAAAATTGTTGTTTAAATAAACACGACATACATATGTACAAAGAAACAATATTGTTTCTTTGTTAATCAAAACGATGTATAAACTGTGGTGTAGGTTCCACGTTGAGGCTCATCACTTTGTGTGGCTGCGTTAGAGTCGATGTAGAGCTCAATACTTCAATGGCTTGTGATGAATCTTGTATTTATGACATTTGAGTATGCTATGAAATAAATCTCCCCTTCAGATTCCGTATTTCATACTTGGACTAACCCCGTTTATGTGGCGGAGTCGGTTGGATAAATTTATTTCAAACAATTGTTCATGTAGACAGACATGATAATTAAAAGCATACAAGCAGAACGAAGCAATATGGAGAAGGAGAGTGAGCCAACTCCATGCAATGAAGCGTGATTAAGGATTTATTACTTACTTACTTTTACCTATTACCCCCAGTGGAGCATAGGCCGCTGACCAGCATTCTTAAACCTACTCTGTCCGCCGCCTTTCCTTCTAATTCGGTCCAATTATTGTGCGTTCTTTTCATGTTTGTCTTCATTTATCCGCAAATGTGTTTCTTGGCCTTCCATTTTTCCTTTAACCTTGAGGATTCTAGGTGAGGGTTTGTCTTGTGACACAGTTGGGTGCTTTCCGCAATGTGTGTCCCATCCACTTCCAGCGCTTCTTCCTGATTTCCTTCTCTTCTGGAATCTGGTTTGTCCTCTTACACAGTAGGCTGCTGTTGATTCTGTATAGCCAACGGATCTGCAGTATATTGTGTAAACAACTGTTAATAAACACGTATTTTGTGAATGATGGGTTTGGTAGCTTTGCAAGTTTCCGCTCCATAACATTCCATGTACTGAAAATAATGGTTGCTCTGGTTGTGAGAAGGGTCATCGGCCTCGTGACTTCCCAATTAAACTAGGCTTTCATCATGTGACTTCATAACTCTTTTAATTGAAAACCTTCCAACTGCCAGAGCAGAGTTTAAATGGTTCGAATTGTTTTTTTCTGGTTAGCATTTTTTAGCAAGTTAGTCTTCTACAGGATGGATTCGCTAACTCCATGCCCAACCCTCCTTCTCAATCCGGGTTTACAACCGGTAATGGCCTCAGAGAAGCCTCAGGCCGAGTTTAAGTATTTACATTCAGAGAGAATATGCTAGACTTGTTTG